AAACAGGGCTATAATTCAGCCTGAGAAGCCTTGCAGAGGCTTTTTCCAAGCCTCTGGGAGGCAGAAAAAGGCCTCAAACCAGCCGAAAAATCAGCTGTGAGGCGCAGTGCAGGTAAGGGGGTGGGGGTGGGGATTGCATGTGCAATGGCAGGGGGTGTGGGGAGGGGGCGCACATTGCATTCTGGGTGCCTGCACATGAGTATGGGCGTGCTGGTGCATTTGCAATTTTGGCACAGGAGCCCAAAAAGGTTAGCCACCACTGGTATAGGATCTCATGCTTGAGCAGGGCTTGAATTAGAAAACCTCCAAGGTCCCTTCCAACTTTGTTATTATTTATCAATCTCTCCATTCAGTCTTACCAAGAGAATGGTGATAAACAATACTTGGAAATGTACATCAGGTCTTCTGATAGCAAAATATCATCTTATTGGCTAGTATTGAGGAGAAGATCACTTTGAAAATGCTTCCTCTGTCACCATAACATGCAAGACGAGGCAAGGAGCAGCTGGGAGGGGAGGGGCGAGGAGAGGCCAGGCGAGTGCCCCTCAATTGAGTGACATCAACTTGGCCATGCTCACCTAGTCATGCCTACACAGCAGTCATTAGGGCAGGGAACCAGTTGTTAAATTATTTGAATCCCACCACTGATTAAGTTGGTGAGGAATCTGTTCAGTCTCCCACTTGGGTCGTCGGCTATCAGCCTGCATGGTGGGCTGTGGCACTGGGTGAGCCCAGAGAGGCCTTGTGCTCTTCCTCTCCAGCCAGGCAGCCTCTTGTGACACTGTGGAAAGCAAGGCCTTCCTGGATGGCCACCTTGCTCTCCCAGCACAGGGAAGCAATTGAAGTGACGCCATGGCGACCTTCGGGAACTGCAGTAATAGCGACTGCTGGCCAGAGAACAGCTCCGGAAGCAGGAGCTTGTAGCCTCAGCAGGTGGATGGCAGCAGAAAGGCCCTGGTGCCTTAGCAATGGCTTATTCATTTACAACATGGACATGACAGCTGGATCAGTGAGCATCGGCGGACTCTTGGCAAGTTGCTTTTGAAGATGTAGTTAAAGCACATGTCACACCCACCCTACATGCTGGCTTTTTCCTGCTCCAGTCTCTTGACCATCCGCCTGAACCCATGGAGATGAGAGAAGCAGAGAGGCCTGTCTTTTTGCCTAGGTTTGTCCAGCTGTCGGGAGGAATATGGATGGGGGCCTGGGGAGGAGGCCATTTTCCACCCGACAACTGGACAATCCTAGGCAAAAAGACAGCCCTCACCAGCACCCCACTTCACCAACAGTGGGCTTGCAAGGGGCAAACATGAGCTGCCATCTGCGTCAAGCTAGACTGGAGAGCGAGAGTGAGAGTGACTAACCAAGCATCGAGGAGACAGTGGGAGGAGGGAAGCAAGGCAAAGGGGCGAGCGAGGGACATCTGCAGCATGCCGTAGCACATGTACTTTCCCTCAGCCCACTTCTTTTGGAGGGTTACTATCTGCTTGACTCCCCTCCTGTTTCTCCACCTCTCGTCTCACACCATTAGCCAGCCTGTCAGCGGGAGGTGAGTGGGTAGGCTTTATTGCATTCTAGGCATTTCCAGTCAAATAGTACACCATGTTTGCAATGGGGGGAGGTGTTTGGGGAAGGCAGCAGGGGAATTGGAGGGGGTAGCTGAGGAACTGCTTTTGAGCCATTGGTTTTTGTGGGGCGGAAAGTCTCCCCCTAGTTATGCAGGCAGAGCCGCACTTCCCATTTCGGTAGCCCCCTGTAGCAAATAAAAAAATAAAAAACCCATGGCTCATAAAAACTGAGCTAGCAGCAGAACTTCCACACCCAGCATGGACCCGCCATGCCGCCCATAAGTGTGTACCCACCAGCAGCGGATGATGTGTACAAAATGAGAGGCTTTGCCTCCCCTGGGCAGGAGAGCAACATCTCTCATTAATGCCAGAGAGGCTGAGAGAAGACATTGCATACCTTCCAAAAAGTCTTTCTGACAGCTTTACCTGCAGCAGAGATGAGAATATCAACTATCTCTAGTCCCTAATTCTCCTTAAGCATTTCCAAGCGAGGATCACCACTGGCAGACTTTGTAAGCCTGCCTAAAGCAGGTGAAGCTTTACCAACAAGACAAAGAAGAGATATTAATAGGGTAAGATATTAACAGCTGTTCTCTGAAGGAAGAGGAGGAGGAGCAGGGAGAAAAAAGAGGAAAAGCAGTCAAGTGAGAAGTGCCTGGCTCGCCAGGAACTAAAGTGCCGCCACTGCTGCTTTTGGGGGGGAAGATAGAGAGGGGGGCAAGATAGAGGACGAGTGCGAGCAAGAGAGAGATCTGATCCAACTGTGTGTGTGCGTGTGTGAGAGAGAGACAGAGAGAGAGTGACCCGATCCAATCTTGGACAGTTATATCAGGACTTTTTATTCTCTGAAGGCAAGACTTCAGGGAAAAACATATGCCCTTAGATTACTTTAATTCTTATACCATAGGCAATTGAATCTGCAACATCTCTTTGGCTTTTTTGTTTGGAATCTTTATTATAAATGGTCATATCTGGGGGGGAAAGTTAAAAATATTGATAAAATAATATGAATAATTTAAATTAGATAATTTACCCATTTTAGATTTCAGCTGAAATAGGTATGTGATACGAAACTTAATTTGCTGCAGAGGAAAGTTGAAATCAACTTTTTTAAATAGAAAGTTTAAAAAACATTTTTAATAGGTGCTACTTACCTGGGACTGCTTGATGGAAACTGGCTGTCTGGAGATGGGTGGAAAGACTGCTCCATTTGTAATCTCATCCAGGTGATTTCCTATTATTGATTTAATTATTCAGCAATCTTTTTACCAGCAGATCCAAAATGTGTACACTTTTGTATGCATTATAGTTATCTATAACAAGAATTATTTGCAATTCTCACAATGTATTTTTCTTTTTCTTTTGAGTAAGATTGACTCCTAGCAGCTACCTGAAGAAGATTTTGCAGATTCTTAGACAGTAGTTCCTAAAAGTGGTTTGATATTGCTGGGTTCCTGGAACTGAGAGAGAGAGAGTTCAGGGTCACCCAATTTGCTTTCATACATAAGGCAGGACCAGAATTCAGATTTTCCTGCTTCTAGTCCGGTATTTTCACTATTAGTCTGGATCACAGGCAATGGGCTTCAGCAGCTGATTTTTTCCAGCTCTCAGAGGCCTACCAATCACATTGCCAACTCTGGGTACTACAAATGCTAAAAATCACTATCATTTCCTATTATTTTTCAAAAGGCAAATGTAACAATTATTAGGATAGCCTTGATGAAGATAAACAAAGGAGAACACTCTCCCCAACATCCTGGGAAGAAAGGAGAAAATTGTGGGGTTTGCTTGTATCATATGTGCCCGCACTTTGTGTCACTGCTCAACCAGCACAGCCCCCAATCCAGAATTGGCCATTCCTGACTTAGAGGCATTAGGGTGCATTACTTAATATTATGATATTCAAACTAACGTTGCTGCTGTTTTTATGATTTTGTATCTATTTAAAGGCTATGAAGTTAATGTCAGGAACATTTTTATCAGACTTCTTTTTTAATCAGATGAGTATTAAAGGTGAACAAGTAGGCATATCAATCATATTTGAAAAATTAAGTTAACTGTTTATTGCTAGATCAATTAACATTTGGGAATTTCTTTAGAGCAATTTTGAAAACATTCAGTGTGTTGGGAGGGGATTATATCTGGTCTTCATTGGCGTGAACCATAATTTTGGGTTGTAAGAATGTCCGAACACTTGCTTAAAAATTTGAGTATCAGAAAATAAAATTATTAGCTTATCCTGAATGTCTGGAGATTCTCAGTCATCCAGGTCATGGTTGTGCCAAAGGTGCTTTTTCAAGAAGCAACTAGGTTTTTCTTAGAAGACATTTCACTTCTCATCCCAGCTGAAAAAATTTCTTGGACGAGATGTGAAATGTCTTCAAAGAAAAACCAAAACGTTGCCTCTTGAAAAAAGCATCTTTGTGATTAGCCGATCCTGGTTATTAGGAAGATCAATTCCTAAGTACTTGGAAGGATTGCTTCTAGGGTATATTGGCCTGTATGCTGAACTGGAAAACCATAAGAAGACAATGGTGAACCAGTTCCATGCTGTGGCCAAAATTTGATGAGCTGAACTCAGTTTTAAAATTCATCTCTTGGTAAAGGATTGAATGTATTCATCGCCAATTATCATTTATGCTCTCCCACATAATTAAAATGTTAATATATTCAATTTGATCCACCTCTGTCCATAATAAACTTAAACAATTCTATAGTGGTAATTGCTCCCAAGTTATTTAAGTAGGCTTGTTCATAGGATATTGCTTTGATGTAACAAGGAATATGAGAAGCTCATCAATTATACTCCGTACTTGCAATTTAAAACGAACAATATGCATATTTTAATTTGGAATTATTTATTTTTTCCTTGATGTATAGGGTGGAATCAAAGACCTGAGATCCTTAAAGTAAGAAAACATCAAAATTAATTTATGCTGATAATTTGCAAGTATTTCTACTTCTGCTTATGAAACAAAAACATTTTTACACACTAACCAAGAATGACATATTGGTCATATTAGCCTCATACCAATGCGGTGATTATTAGAAAATCATTGTAACAACACTTCTCTGGTTAAATCATTTTCCCCCTTTCTGCCTTATTCCTCAGTATGACAGTGCCATTGTGGTACTGCTTAATGGATGATTTCAGTATATAATTGGCTTGTTTCCACTGGCTGAAGTTGCCTGCTCTAATCTGCCTATTTAACTGTAAAACAGCTGGGTGTTTCTGAGGCTATAGTTGGATTGAAAAAACAGCATGAAATAAAGCACAACTTGTTTGTTCCTCTGTAAATGGATTCCAAGTTGTTCAATGAACAACTTAAATGAATACTATGTTAAGACACGGATCAAGATTAGTCATTCTTATGATGCAATCATATCAATGCAATATAGAGGTAAAATGTGTTTTCTAAATTTTCAGAATTGTCATTACTATATTTCCATAGTTTCTGAAATGAAATTATTATAGACTTAGTAAAGAATATGAAGAACAGTACTATGTATCATTTCCCTTTATTATTTTCCCTAGGAAAGCTAATTACATTTTACAATCAAAGGCACTTGAAATCCAATTTCTGAAGGAGCAGAAAGAAAACCTGCAAATACAACTTCAAGATCTAAAACTGACTATGAACAATATTGCCTATAACACAGTTGGTCAAATACTAGAAGGATATGCAAGCAAAGGCATTACAAAATGGGTAAGAGATCTTCATAAGATTTTATTGATAGAAATATTTGTGCCAAATCAATATAACCAAATTCACCAAATCAAATCCTGGCACTCTAGGAATCTTGTTCTTTTAGTTAGTCTTCCACTTTGAGCCTACTTAACTGGCAACAGCATAATGAAGTCAAGCAGACTGAAGGCATGATGCATGGTCTTTCCTGTTATGTATTTGTGTGCATTTTTTATTACCTGTGATGACCGTGATGAACCGTGATGCAACATTTCTGGAAAGTTGCAATTAATGTTTGGGTTTTATTTATTTTATCCTTTCTGGCTCCTTTTCTACATTTTTCCAAACTTATAGGTGTAGTAATGGATGAATTTTAATTTTATCTTTTATCCATGACAGAATATTGAAAATATTCTTAAAAAATTAGAACAAAAGTTGGATGAAGATATTGTTCAGATGATAGATTATGCACTCCAATCTACAGGTATTTGCAGTTCTATTCTCCAAACTATGTAACTAGATTTTGGAAATCCCTACTATTCATATATAGTACAGCTTTATTTAGTATAAACTAAACTGTGTATTTCAGTTATTAAATTAAAACAAATGTCAAAGTACTTCATGTAACTATTGTACTTTTTTTAAAAAAATGCAGTTTATTAGTATCAATATCAACTACAATATCTGAAAAGTCTTCAAAAGCACTTTTGCATACATTTTTATATGCAGGTTCTAAGATATTCACTATGAAATTGTGCAAACGTACATAGTAGCAAATTGGTAGGAAAGTTTCAATTTTTCTTACTAAATGCTTATCAGAAAATATTCATAGCCACTGTCTTTTTAGACTTACTCCTAAAAGAATAAGCTCTAGGAATATCCTGGAGCTTCAAACATGACAGACAAAAGGGAACTGTAGCCCATTAAAAATTTTTGTTTTTTTCTATTTTAGGTAGCCATAGCATTTCACTCAGATTAAATTCCAAAGTAGATATATTTTAGATGCAGCTAATAATTTGTCATCTGATATTGCACTTAAAATATATAGCAGCTAGTAGATTTATCTCTGCAATGATAAACTAAGCAACAATAACACGAAAATCAGCCTAATGTGGCTTTTAGTGATCTGAATATAAATATAAATATACATTGCAAATGGCTTATTCCCCAGGGTACATTATCTGTTGTTATTCATTTGATGATAGTAGATGCAGTTCCCATCCCATTGGTGGGCTGCAATTGGTTCAACAATTGGTGAGCATGTGTGCGTGCAGCATTCAAAACCACCCATGTTAAGCTTAAAAACGAACCTATGTCAGCGCTGGTGAGTTAAAGCAGATGAGGCATGGCAATCCGCTGTGTGCCGTGCCAATCAACTGAGCTAAAAAACAGGAAAATGTAGGACAAGAAAGGATGGATTGGCGGGGCCAACTGCTCACCAGAACTACTGATTTGCTAGAACCAGTCCGAACTGGTAGCAGCCCACCACTGTCCCATCCCCAATATTGTGTATTAGAGGAATTTGCTACTTGTTTGTTGTACATAAAGTGTAACATTATATTATATTTTCTGGACTCTCTTTGCTGATAAATGGCATTAGTCGTATGCTTGGATTTTTTTTCCATATATTTTTTCATTAAAATAGATAAATGATGAGTTATTTAATTGTAATACAATGTTTCTAGGTGCCAGTATTGTTCAGTCCAGAACCACTAGAAGTTACCACTATCCTGGTGGAAACTATTCCTGGAAGTCATTCATTATATTCCCGTTTGTGAAATCACCAGACTTAATTCTTCAGGTATAAGTAAACATAAAGTATTTGGGAGGCAATGTTGGGCTTCAGGCTCCGGTGACTGTAAGATGGAGAACAGGTTCCTTGAGATTTTACTGGCAATTGTGGCTAGAATCTTCAGAGGGAAAATGATACGTTATGCAAACCAAGGCAACTGTTTGGGCTCCAGAATAGAAGAATATAACTTTATAATGGTCTTAGACCAGCAATAGACATCACTATTTACAATATATATAAAAAAAATACTGACACATTATAATACATTAATAGTGGATAAAAACATCCGTTAAGAAAATACATGTTATCAAACAGTTAGGAGCACTCCCTGGTTTATATGAGTGGAGAGCCAATAAGTATGTGTTTAAATATCATTTCCCAAAGATTGTTCTAACTCCAAAAATTGTCACAAATTGACAGCTATAATTCTGTAACCAATTTTTTTCTAGTAGACATTGCAGCAATACAGAATTTTGCCACTGCATGAGTAATAGCTAGGTTTGAATCCTGGAGGAGAAAGTCTACATAAAAATTGTCTGCCCTCCCTGGCAATCTCTCTAGAAAGGGGAGAATATACAATGACCTATAAACTCTGTATAACTCACAGTACAATAAAACATGTGAGATATCTTCAACTTCTCCTTTACCACATATACATACTCATTCTGCTATTGGTGTTTTCTTATACCTGCCCTGAAGGAGTTGCTGATGGGAGAATATTAAATCTGGCTCTGAAGAATGCTATTCTTTGTTTTGCAATTTGGGCTCCAGTCTTTATAGCCAAGTGTCTTGAATTCAGATTGGCTTTTAGTCAAACTGCTTTCTGATTGGTTCTTTGGGCCCCTCCTGATTGCCAGTTTTGGAGTGCAAAGTCTTGATTGGTTTATGCTTGGTTCTAGTTTATTTATTTAACATATGGCACATAGTCTAGTTGATTAGTTTGAACAGCTGAGTCTTGATTCAGTTCTTGGAAGTTTCTGATTTGCCTGAATATTTATTAAAGCTTTCTTTCTTTAGTAGAAGTATTTCAAAGTGCTCCAAGTGACATTCAAAAATATATGATACCTCATATAATAAACTTCATTAATTAAACAGAATCTCAAACTATAGAAACCAAAATGAATAATCAAATCCTCTTTAATTGATTGAGTTATGTAATTTATACTGTAGAATGCTTAAATTATTTCAAATTTTCTTTGTGTTCTCTTTAAGCCCAGTTACCACCTTGGAAACTGCTGGTCTTTTCCTGGAAGTCAAGCTGAAACTGTTATCAGACTAGCTAAGGAAATTATTCCAACAGCAGTTACAATACAACATATATCTAAGAAAGTCTCCCCCACAGATGAGATCTCTAGTGCTCCCAAAGATTTTGCTATTTATGTAAGCATCATGTTCTAACTTATTTACTAAATTAAAGTAAAAATTAACTTGCAACTTGCATTTCTATGATTGTTATTGTTTTAGGACTGAGAGATTCCTTTCTAGATCAGATTGGGATCAACTACCAAGAGGATGATTGTGTTTGATCATTTCACTGAACATTTTTTACATCCCAATATGCTTTTATATGTATCCCAATATATTTTATATCCCAATGTTCCAATTTTATATTCCAATATGGTACACATGTTTTATTTTACATTTATTTATTATGTCACTAGACTAATGAACTAACCAATAAATATATGATTTTAGAGATATGTTAATTTTCAAATTAACAATCTTGATTTCACCAATACTGTAATTGAGTAGCTAAAAAATACTAAACACTTGCTATAATTATACAGATTGTTTAACTATGGTTGTTGGTTAGACACAACTTATTAGCTTCATATACATATTAAACTATAGCTCATATTTTACAAATGGTAATCGCAAATCCACATTATGGTAAATTGACCCAACCAACCAATACAAAAGCACATTTTGCACAAAATTTTATATTTAGAGATCTTGACAATCATAGACACAATAATAGAATCATAGGGTGGAAGATTCCAGGTTGGGTCTTCCTCTAAGTTTTCACCCATTGCTTTTTGTCCTGCCCTCAGGTACTATAGAATAGAAATTGATCCTCTCATGCTGAAGTATAGTCCTTTAAAAGCTTGAATTCCTTCATCCTGTTTAACTTTATATGAAATCACTTAGGAAACTTTGGCATGTAGTGCATGTAGCATATTAATAACTTAGTTCTATTACTTCTTGCCACCTAACTACAAAAACAAAAGAGGTTTCCTAACACACAAAGTTAATAATGGGTTAAATGAAGGAGAACAAATTAAAATCAAATTTAATTTGATGGATTTAACTATCTAAACTGCTTTCATTAATTAGAGTGAATCTTATAGTACTTTCTGAAATAAAATTGGCAAAACAAATTGAAGAAGCTATCACTTTATTTATATTATTTGATAACAGTCAAATATCAAGCTATGTATTCTAAGAGAGCTAATGTGGATGGCACTAAATATAATGGAAAAAGCCAATGGTCACTGAAGACATGTTGTACTTTGTATGTGTGCACACATCTCTGTACGTATAGATACATAAATACATTTGGTATACTGTACACTAGTACATTTCAGACTAAATTAGTCTTTCAAAGACACTGCATAATTACTCAGCCTGTATTGGCATTTTTCAGTATAAAAATGATTAAACAAAACTATGTGTTTCTGAGATATGTGAACTAAATATAATATTTTTTAATATATATTTCTGAGTATTAAGTTGATGATAATTGTACATATAAATAATTGCTTCTTTAATTAGGATATCGGTGGGTCATCAATAAATAGCCAGTAAACCATGAATTATCTCATATTAATGATTTTTAAAATGTCCACAATTTGACTTGATACTTATATAAAATTTGATTCCAAAATAGATAAAATCTTTGTTTCTCTTCTACTGTTATGGAATACTGTATGATGTCATGGATGTTGGTAATCCTTTCTTTCAAAAGGGACTAAAAGCAGAAGAAGAAGAAGAAGGAACTTTTTTGGGTCAGTTTACATATGACATGGAAGGATTCTTAATTCAAACATTCCAGTTGAAAGTATGTAGACGTTGTTGGGAAATTTCCACACAATTTTAATAAACATTGCTGCTGACCAAAGGGACAATTATAGTAATCTATGCAGTTAGCATAGCTGTATAATCATGATTTTCCAAAAGGTTAAAAAAAAGAAAAAGGAATCTCTGGATAGGTTAATTCCTCTTGACATTAAATCCTAATCTAGTGCTAAATGAATGAACAGTAAGATGTCTATGTGAAATGTCAGGTTTGAGCATTTCCCTCTTTTTTGCCTGGGCAGAAGAAGAAATTAGAACTTTACTTTGACAGATTCTTATTTATTGGCAAATGAGAATAGCCACATAACAACTGTGTTATGGAGGTACATTGTTTGTCCATAGGCTTCAGTTTAAAATGCTAGTTTTTACCCATAAAGGCCTATATGACTTGGTTCTTAGGAAGCTTCAGATCAACCACCTTATGGAATCATGCCATCATTAGTATCCTTCAACATTTGTTGAAAGTCCTCTATTTGGAGAGACTGGGGGAAAAGATTTTCCGACATATTATTTTCTTGCAATTCCTGGATTATAGAATAGCTCTATCCTAAAGTCAGAACAGCAGCCACACTCACAGTCTTAATCTAAACAATTAATCTAAGCAAAAATTTCCAGAGAAAATTCAGGGGACAAGTGCACATTCTCTGTATTATTATTGTTTTGGTTCTAATGTTTTATTTTACTACACTATCACAGGTAATCATATAACAGGTTATCACATGATTGACCCAATTTTTACAACCTTTTTTGCAGCAGTTGTTAAGCAAACACCATGGGTATTAAGAACCACAGTCAGATGAATCCATTGTTTGCTACAGTTGGTTTTGCCAGATATCAGATGTTTCATGCTAGTGTTCTGTAAAAATGTAAATTGAGATCACGTGACAGCAGAAAACTGCAACAGCTATAAATGCAGGCCAGTTTCTGAGTTCCCAAAATGCTGTCATGTGACCATGGGGTGGGTCAGCTGTTGGAACTCTGGGACTTAGGTCATAAGTACCTTTTGAGGGTCCATTTTAATTTTGAATGCTTGCGAAGCGACAGTTTTAAGTTGAGGGCTACATAGGAATAATAGAAATAATTGATATATATAAATACTGTTTTAATTCAGACCAGGAACTGTTAATTTAAAATAAGTATATGTAAAGTACACAACTTAAGAAATGAATTTTATTTTTTATGTGCTATATGCATTTTACTTATTCTAGTGGTTTTTTAAATAGTTTGTTAAATCAGCTGCATTAAACCAAGAATCTTTTAAAATAGTCATGACTGATATTCCTTCCAATTATATGGGAGGAGAATAAGGAGGGGAGTTCTTGAGGCAAGTTGTAAATATAGGACTATTCCTATTGAACACATATGCTAGTTTTATGTTAGTGTTCTGTGCACACCAAATGTATCGCAAGAAAAACATACTACCTGTAATTATATTTAATCACAATAATTAAGCCATGGCAGAATTAAAAATCTCTCTCTTTTTCAGAATGAATCTTCTGAATTGATGAGATATATAAAGCTGGAAGTGATAAACAACTGGGGCCATCCTAAGTATACTTGCATTTATCGGCTTAGAGTGCATGGAGATCCGAGAGCATCTAAGAATTGTGTAGATGATCATGCTAATAAAGGATGAAATGATAGCAGCCAAATGACAAATTATTGTAATTTTGCCAAGGTTCTCATTCTATAACTAAAATGAAGAAATGCATTCTAGGACGCTAACCTATTCTTATTACATTATTGTATAGCATACACTGTATAGCATATTATGTATAGCATTTTGTAATAGTATTTCTGTCTTAATTCTATTATGAAATACAGGTGGTCCTTGACTTACAACCATAATTGAGCCTAAATTTTCCATTGCTAAGCAAGATACATGTTAAATGATTTTTGCTCCATTTTACAGCCTTTCTTGCTATACCTGTTAAGTGAATCACTGCAGTTAAGGTAGTAAACATGGTTATTAAGTGGACCTGTCTTCCCTATTGACTTTGCTTGTCAGAAGCTCGCAAAAGCTGATCACATGACACCAAGTCACTGCAACCATCATAAACATGAGCCAGTTGCCAAGTATCTGAATTTCATCATGTGACCATGGGGATGCTGCAATGATCTTAAGTGTGAGAAATGGTCATGTCACTCTTTTCAGTACTGTAAGTTCAAATGATCACTACATGAATAACTGTAAATTGAGAACTAAATAGTTGTAAATTGAGCATAGATATAATAAACAGAATTTTAAATTATTTGTGACTATTGATAGCTTCAGGGAGAAAAGCACATGAAAAAATTACCACATAGGAAGACAATAAATCTTATTTCTCTATGGCCACAGACATTTTCTTTCTGAGAAAAGTAACATAGCTAGAGTTGGTAGTTATCTCTGTGGTTGCGCAGGTAATTATACACATTCGCAGCTCATACGCATTTATTGAACAAAAGTTTTGTAATGAAAGAATTTACTCTTGATGCATGCCATCTTCCTCGTGAAAACCATGCTACCCTGGCCTGTCAGAGATTTGGGATAGAGTAGGATGTATGTGAAGCACAGCTGCAGAAAGATATGATTTTAAAAATCTGGCAAATAAACCACTTTTTCTGCAAGCTTCTTTCTTGCAATTTGATTATCAGAAGATTGAAACCACTTAAGTTTCGGGATTCAGTTTTTTTTTACTACCGGTTCTGTGGGCGTGGCTTGGTGGGGTGGAGATTCTTAAGAAGAGATCAGTCACTTGTCTGAAATGGTATAGGCAGGGTCTCCTGCTTGAGCGCGTGGGTTGGATTAGAAAACCACTAAGGTCCTTAGGTAATGCTTTCTAAGAGTCGCACCCCCCCCCAACTTGTGTTGCGGCTGTTCGCCTGATGGAACGGCGAAAACTTTCCTGAAAAGTCCTAAATCGGGAGACACTAATCATCTTTTTTTCCGTTAAAATGCAACCTTTCCGAACCGCCAGTAAACAAATTAAAGGAAAGTGAAACAAAAACGGGGGGAGGCGTTGTTGGCAGCGACCCCTTGGTTCGGCTTCCGGGTTTCACCATAGATCGAAGAAATTATGGAAAGAGTTCGTAGGATTAGAAATTGGCCTTTTGTCGGATCTGCGACATTTCCGATTCCCGCTTCGTTGGGCTGGCCATGAGATTATGAAACCGATTCCGCTGGCCCAAATGGGAAAATAACAAAAAGAAAAGGAAGGAAGGAAGAAACAGCGAGATAACAACTCTGCAGTAACTTTGCATAAAAACGGGTCCCCAAACTTGATAACTTTAAGACTTGTGGACTTCAACTCCCAGAATTCCCCAGCCAGCATATTCTGGGAGTTGAAGTCCACAAGTCTTAAAATTGCCAAATTTGGAGGCCTCTGCATAAAAACGACCGAGACGCTTAAAACGGGAACCGGAAGTGCACTTGTCTCCCTTTTTTCTCTATGGTTGATTGGAGGAAAGCGAGGGAGAGCGTTGATGCTGAAGCCGTTTTTGTCATGCGGTTTCGAGCGAAGATTATAGACGTGGGATGTCTCAATCATTTCAGTCGTGAGTAGAGCGTGAGAAAAAGGCTGCAGTTCAGCTGGAAAGAAAAAGCATTGGAAAGAGCACACTCGGCTTTGCCTCCCCCTCCGTGATTTCTTTGACCGAGTGTCCGCCCGATTTGCAGTTTTTAAAAAGCGGCGCTTTTCCATCAAAAGAGCGGGCTTCCTCCAAGCCTTCCGCTGGGAATGGAGATAGAAACGTGGCTGTTGATTTAAAAAAATAAAGTGTTTCATTTATTTGGCAGTCCATCTGTTTGTTCCACGCTACCGAGGTGGCTAAATGGTATGATAGTTCCATAGCTGCCAGTTGAATTGGATTAATTCAAGCAGATACATATTCTTTCCAGTGATTTGCTTCCCAGAGTGTGCTAAGCTTGAAACAAGCCATATGAATACTCAGATAATGTGTGTAGTACAGGAAGAATTTCATGTTTTCATTCTGCCTTTAGAGAAGTAAAAATATACAGGGAAAATAAAAAGGGGGGTATTTACAGGGATACTTCAAAAGTTGCAGCCTATCTTAAGTACTATGTTACCTCAAAGACTGACTCCTTTTATACCTCCATGATTAGCAAACATTGAGTGAGATCAGAATTGCTTATTTTGTCAATAAAACTTTATAAAAATTCAGTCACAGTTGCACACAGGTAAACAGATAGCTGAAAAACTATTGCACTGATTATAAATTTGGCTCCAAATCTTTTTTGTTAATCTTATAGAAGTGATAAATTAATATTTTAGTGATGGGTTATAAGTGGAGTCCAGTAATTTTTAATGCAACTTCCAAATTAACCTCTAATTATGCCTGTTTGGTAATGAAGTTTCATCCTCTATTTTTGTTCCTGTGACTCAAGTTGTTCTATTATATAGAGATATTAAGAGAGTATGTTGTAAAATGTACTGTCTTGACAGGTGTGATAAACACAATTGCTAAATTAGCTAAAACTTGCATCCTGCGGCTTACTTTGGATAAACTTTACTTTATCCTCAATGACAAAGTGGCAAATGGTGGTGTTAGCATGTGGTGTGAGCTTAACCAGGTAAGAGTCCAGGGGTGAAAAATATTAAAAACAGCAAACTATGAAGTGCATTTGATTTTAATTTTGTAACAAGCAAACAGATATGTTCTTTCATTGTGAATACTTGCTCCTCACAAAGAATTATGTGTGGTGTAATGGCAACAGTATTGTACATAACAATAAGCAGTTTCTCCAATGTTCCTACAAAATGTCAAAAATAATTAGATAGAAATAAACGAACAAGAAAGACAGAAGGCAAGCAAAAATGCAAGTTGAATTTGAGGTAATTAAAGACCCATAAGAATTAAATGATATCCAAGAAGAGCCAGAAAATCATCATAATTTAAAAAGGATATAGAAGAATAGAGTTTAGATAGCTTAGCACCTGTCTTAACACAGTATCATCCAAATAAAGTAAACAGAGGTGAATTGCCTCTTATTTGGTATTTCTGTTTTTGCTTGCAAGCTTCTCACTATTAGTGTAGGTAAAGCAGAGAGGGGGAGATTTCTGGATTTGCCTCCGCAATCAAAAGTGTTTTCTGATGTGATTCCTACTACAAAAGTAATGCAGGTACTAGGTGCTCATAAAAGAACTTAAATGCTTTATTTAAAAAAAGAGAAAAGAAACCAGTATAGTTACACAAAGAACTTTCTAATAAACTGAAAGACAAAAAGGATAAGTAGAAAAAATGGAAAGAGAAACATAACTAAGGCAGAATATCATCTTATAGCCCAAATCTACAAAGATGAAATCAGGAAAGCTAAGGCTCAAAATGAAGTAAGATTTGCAACAAATGACAAAAACAATACAGTTTCTTTCAACATATTAAAAACAAGGAAAAAAAAGTCAAGGAAACATTTGGTCCAATCATGAGAGAAGATGGCAAAGAAGTAATCATCAGTGGAGAGAAAGCAGAGCTATTTTATTCATTTTTTGTATTTGTCTTCATGCAAAAAGATAATGCAGATCAGCTTATCAAAAATACAGAGAGAGTAGAATACAGATTAAAATAAGCAAGAAAACACATGTCTGATCTAGATGAGTTCAAATTATTGGAACCAAATTATCCCAGAGTTCTAAAGGAGTAGCAGATGTGATCTCAGAATCATTGAACTATATTTTTCAAAGATTCTGGAGTACCAGGGAACTACCAGAAGACTGGAAAAGAGCTGATAATGGTTCCCAATTTCAAAAGAAAAAAGATAGATCCAGAAAACCCAGAAACCAATCATCCTGACATCAATATTTGAGGAGATATACAATAGAGAAATGAACACCTAGAGGCAAACAAAGTTGTAACCAGCAGCCAGAACGGGTTTGTCAAAAACATCATCCTGAACAAAGGTTATTTCATTTTTTGACAAAGTGACTGAATTGATGGACCAGTGAAATGCAGTGGACATATTATACTTGGATTTCAGTAAGGCATTAGACAAAATAGACCAGAACTCATTTCTTGGTAAGCTAAAAAAATGTGGGATAGACAGTGTCATTATCTGATGTATTTATACCTGACTGACAAAACATGTAGTACTTAATGGAACTACATCTCCATGGTACCCCAAGGTTTCATTTTAGTCCCAGTACTTTTCAACATCTTCATAAACTATTTGAATAAGGGAATAGAAGGGGAACTCGTCAAACTTGCAGATGACACTAAACTGGCAGGAATAGCCAACACCCCAGAAGGAACATTCAAGATCCAGATGAACCTTGACAGATTTTAACACTAACAAAATGAAATTCAACATAGAAGAAGGTAAATTTTTACACTTAGGCAAGAAAACCAAATGTACAGTATAGATAAGGTGTAACTTACTCAACAGAGCCAGCAGTGTGTGGCAGCAGCCAAAAATGCCAATGCAATCCTAGGTTGCATTAATGGAGGGACAGAATCAAGATAACATGAAGTACCGCTTTAAAAAGCCTTAGTAAGACCCCCCTAAAAAAACCGCACCCAGTTTTGGTCATCGTATTATAAAAAAGATGTAGAGATTCTGCAAAGAGTGCAGAAAAAAATAACAAACCTGATTGGGAGGGCAGAGACTGAAACAAATGAAGAACACTTGCAGGAATTGGGTATGTCTAGTCTAGAGAAAAGAAATACTCTGGTGACATGATAGTAGTGTTCTAATATTTGAGTGACTGCCAGAAAGAAGAGGGGTTCAAAATATTTTCCAAAGTACCAGAAGGAAAACAAGCAACAATGGATAGAAAGAAATAAGCTAGAACTAGGGAGAAATTTCCTGACAGAACAATTAACCAGTGGCACAGTTTGCCTTCAGAAGTTGTAGATGCTCCATCACTGGAGACTTTTAAGAAGAGATTTGACTGTCATTTTCTGGAATGGTACAGAGCCTTTTCCTTTAGCAGTGGGTTTGACTAGAAGACTTCTAAGGTCCATTCTAATTGTTACTCTTTTATATGGAGAGACAGAACAACTGCTATGTGATTATGTAACAATCTGAGTCCATAGCAGTAAATCATGCAAGTAATGATAGCATAATGTAGGTTGAACTAAAAGCAGCTTTCTTCTCCCATTTTTAATTGTCTCCAGATGGTAGCATTTATTTCTTGTCACTGCAGATTAGCAACTGCAGAAAATTCAGAGGGAAGCTAATGGTCAGTGGCTTGTATTTTATATATCTCTAATCTAGAGATTTATTTAATCTATGCATCTGCCAGCAAAGTAGAGTTGAATAGTTTATTTGTTTAGTATATGGCAGTGGTCGCCAACCATTGGGCCAGGGACCCCTGGTGGTCCATGAGAAAATTTTGGTGGTCCGCAGAGAAATGTCACCCCCCCCAAAGCACCCCCTAAAGCAATCCTAAAGCTGTGCCACCCACATGGCCCATGGGAACACAAGGCTTGAATCGCAGTGTGAACAACACAAGATAGTGAGGGGAGGGGGGAAAGGGCGGAGAGGGGGAACTTGCCTCACTCGCCCCACGTGCCCCGCCTGGCCACCAGGCCGCTGCTTTCCGCTTCTTCTGCTTTTGGCTGCACGCAAGGAAAGCAGCAAAAGTCTCTCTTCCTCTCCCCCAATAAATGAGTCTGTGGGATCCTGCAAGGCATCTTGCTCCAAGAGGTTGTGCCATTCTGGTGGAGTTTGGGGGAGAGAAAGAAAGGCTTCTGTTTCTGCTGCTTTCCTTGCATGAAGCCAAAAGTCTCTCTCTCTGTGTCTCTCTTCCCCTAAGAACGGAACTGGAAACAGTATCCTGCGATCCCAAATAAAGAATGATCGATCGGTAGGAAAATGGAGTGGGGAATTTTCCTGCAGACTTTTTTGGGGATTTTCCCAGGGTCTCTTGTCCGCGGGATTTAAAATTATGAGTTTGGTGGTCCCTGAGGTCCAAAAGGTTGGCAACCCCTGGTATATGGCATGCAGTTAAATAAAATACAGAGATTAGAGTTCCTTTTATTCAAATTGAAGGCTTTATTTGAAAAAAAAATAGTTTCTGTTAAACTATAGAAAGGATTATAGTCAGGATATATAATATTTTTTGTGAGACTTTATTGTGTGTTGGAAGATTTTAACAAATGAAAGTTAATAATTTTTCCATGTGTATTGTTTGTTTAATTAGCTATTAAATGCTATGGGTTGTTGTTATCTGATCTGTTTGTAGATGTGTGTGAATTAATGCTTTTGACCATACTGTTCGATAGTTCATACAAGTCAAGTCGTAAGATTACATTCATGATATAGCAGCTACCTTACTTATACTTACTTACCTATGAAAGCAAAAGAAAAACCAAACCCATACAAAATACTTTTAAATGAAACCCAATATTAATAACACTAGCTTTATCAGCATCTCTGCTTTCTAAAATTGTTCTAGATGAACTTCTTTGATGAATTCCAGATGGAGGGTGTCTCTGCAGAAAATAATGAAATTTACTTAGAACTGGCACCTGAAAACCTCTCCAGGGCTTTTAAAACTGCTCAAAATGCCAAGACAGTGAAAATCAAATTGACTAATAAACAGTGTCCTTGCCTTACAGTAGCCATGGAGCTGGTGAGTAGAGAATTATTCTAAGTGAAATGTCAGTCTTCCTATCAAAGGAGAATTGCAATATACTCAAGTCAATAACAAAATGCAAATGTAAATTCTCATGACACATTAACTTCTTTCAGCATAACTTTAGACAGGGAGATCTTCATATTGTTGAACATTCTGATACGGTTATCCCTGATACTGTGGCATTTTAGCTCTTTGAAGTCCCTAGATTTACTATATAGTATCAGAGGAAAATAATAGCTTTCAATTCTGCTAAATTATAATACTAATACTTGGTCGCCTCTGTATGTGGATTAGTTTGGGGTTTTTACAGAAACCATGTAAAAATGACAGCATAAGGAAATCTGTTACTATTTAATTCTGTGTGATTTAATTTCTTAAACAACGGAGATCTGCATTGTGAAAATTCAGTCTATGAAGAAGTGAATAGTGGGTTCAAAGCACATTTGAGTGTTTTGTACTGTAAGCAAAATTGTCTTCTAAGTTTCCAGGTGGCAATCATTTCAAATTTGATTTCCAGGACTTTGGAAGTTGATTTCTTGAAAATTTGGCTGTAAGATTTGTCTAAACGTCAGGCAAATATTAGAAGGAAATGATTAAGGGTGGACCATGTTTCACTGTAACTATCCACACATGATTGGAGAAGAGATAACTTTATGGTACCAATTTTCATAGGCTTGAAGTCATGGTGTTACTTGCAGTTATGAAGGAATTGTGTTCTGGTATAAAATATTTATGGATGCTGCAGTGAAATGTGGTAATTCTTTAAATAACGAAAAATTACGCTTTTGGTCATATAAAGTTTATTTCTTCTAGCCTTCCTTGTCAACCAGTAGCCGCATTGTGACTCATGACATTCCTGTAGGAGTTATTCCCAGAAAACTGTGGAATGACTTCAGAGAACCCAGTGTGCCCAACTTCGATGTAAGTAACTTGATTTTCGGAGCATTAAAACTAGATTTTAAAAACAGTTTTATCTGGTTTCTTCTAAATTTTCTTGTTGCATTTAAGCTGAATTGCAGCAAATTTCTTACGTTTCTGACATAATTGTTAAACTGGATTTTAAAAACAGTTTTGTAAAACAGTAAAAACTTTTTTTGTTCTTAGCATTTATGTTGTATAATTTGATACCAGTGAACATTTTCATCTGGGCTATTTCCAGTGTTTTGTACGATTTTCACATTGATTCTTATGCATTAGTTCCATGCATCAGATTATAGAAATACTTCCAAATGTAAAACTGTAATTCAGTCCAAGGTTTAATTCCACAAAACATTACAGGTGACACTGAAAAGTAGTTTGAAATCATAAAACAAATTAATCATAGTCAAGATCATGACAAAAGGACAAAATAAAAGAATCTCAGATATAGAGGAATTACTTTTCTTATGTTCACGATTCCCTACCACAAAACAATTCTTAAACATGGGCTATAGAAACCCTTGCATTACTCAGTTGATGTTCATTAAACCTCATCTCACTAAGTCACTAGTTGTAATATATATAGTTAATACTTATTAAGCCAGAACTGGAACACTTTCAAGTGGGTTTTATTGCCAAGGTGCTTAGCCTGATTCTTTTCTTCAAATGTTTTAGGTGGTTCCTTGGAGTATTGAGACAAGTCTTGATTCCGTCTCAAGTCCTAAGCCAGACTCAACTTAATTGATGCAGATAGCTAAGTAGAATCTTTGTGTGAGGAGTTGGCCCAAACTCAGGCCATGGTATAACTTAAAATACTTACTTCGACCCAAACAAGTTCATCTGACTTGTCTCGAGGCTATTAAGTTTTGCTGGCCTGTCCTTCCCTATATCTAGAATTCTCATTTGAAGAATGATATAGGTAGGAAAAAGATATATTTATCAGCGTGGCCTGGTTCAGAGTTTAGCTATATATATATATATTTTTAAATTGAGCTAAATTTGGGTGAGTTCACCCAAAACCATATAATTCAATTATGTGCGAAACTATAGAATATCACTTGGTTCTAAATTAGTTTAATTCTCCATGGGATAATGTATCATACTCAAAAGTGTGTCACTGATAAGATATTCCTAGGTTATCTAGAGTGCTACTGATCTTATTTTGCAGGTCAGTATTTATTTACCTGTGCTGAAGACAATGAAATGTGTTGTGGAAAGAATGAAAAATATCAGCAGTTCTGTTGTAAGTTACAATATGTTTAATTGTGAAGGCATATTTGGGAAGAGAGTTAAATATAATTGAATTGCATTTCTACTTAATTATTGCAGAATTTAGGAATATACTATTTTAAAATTGTGTTTATATAATCAGTAATTGTATAAATCGCTTTCTCAAAATGAATTACAGATAAAGCAAATCCATTCTAGGCCTAGACCATAGTGAGAATAGTAAGATATTCATTTTTTTATTTTCTCTCCTTTAAGTTATGACACAGGCTGATTTGGCGCATAATCTATATTAGGAATTGATTTCCTAGCTCGTTTAGTCTTGTAAATGAGCAAGACATCAAGTCTTGTTTGGTCAATATCTGGTGGTAATCTGATATGTAAACTTACATATTTGATATTTAATGGTTGCCAAGATATTAAAGCTGTGCAGCACTTAGAATTCATTTGGGGAAAGGGACTTCAGTATTTTGTAGGCACAAATATAGCTCATTCTAGCAACATCTTTAAACCAGTTGTATCTTTATCAAACTGCAAAGGGAAGCCCTGCATTTCTGGGAAAAGATGTTGCATTAAAAGATGATGCATTAGTGCCTTTTGCCTGCTGTGAAGCAGCTTTGAATTTTAACTGTGGCATAGCATTAACATGCAAATAAAGAAAGATCCACCACTTCCTAAGCAGGAACTGTGAAGAAAGGACAGTGAGATTTGCTCTTTTCACAAATTTTGGAACTCATATCACATCCCTGTGATAATTGCCATATTGGCTAACATAATAGTGGTCCAAATGACTTCTGGAGAGTCAGATTTCACATTAACAACCAAATTATGAAATGCTAAGATGATGTTTTGAGTGTTCTCCTTCAAAGATTGGCTGACATAATAAGTATGGTAAATTATAAAAACATTTATTGGAAGGCTCATTAGACAGTTTATTCTCACCTTTATTCTCAGTTCTTTGTCTATTTTTCAAATGGGCATCCTATCAAAAAAACCACTTTTCAGCCATATATCATTTTTATTTTTAAAAAATGCTATGAAGTCTCTATTGTGTAAATAAAATGAAACCAGTGACTACTTATTTTCACCCACTTCCTCTTCTCAGTTTTTGATAAATGATTCTTAATTACAAATAATAAAAATAATAAAAATGTTAATTAAAAGAATCTAAATTAACATCAAATGGTCAAAAAATCTGGGAGCATATAGAAAGGTGCCAAGCTGTTCATCAGCTTGCCTGGATATGGGCTACAGAATAAAGTAGAATAAGGAATAAAGGTTCTCATAAGTGCATGGCTTTACATTCTTACAAGTATTCCATATATTCCTTTTTCTTTTGCATATTAATCAAGACTGCTCAGACTTTTAGTTAGTAGGGGGTGAGTCTAACCATGGTGCAAAAGACTTTACTTGTTTTAAAATTAAACAGCATGACAATAATCTAGGCCCACAATGGCGAACCTATTGCACACATGCCAGAGATGGCACGCAGAACCCTCTCTATGGGAACGTGAGCCGTCGCCCCAGCTCAGCTCTGCCGCGCATGCATGCACCTCCTGCTGGCCAGCTGGTCCTCAGGTCTCTGCCACGCATGTGTGGGGCGCATGCAGGGTGTAGGGCACATGTGCAGGGATGTGTGCGTATTGCATTTTGGGGGTGCACGTGCGCACTTTGCACACGGTGCTGAAAAGGTTAGCCATCAATGATCTAGGCTATTAGGTTAGGAGGGGATCTATTTAATTAGCCACCCTACTTATTATGATTGTTCATAGTATCAAGACTCATTATTTGAAGTTCAACTTCTCTATCTTCAAAACTACAGTATATGCTGAGGGTAACTCCACAAATACCAAGTGTTCAGTTCAAGTTTCTATGCAGTTTTTATACTGTACAGTTGTGTTCATAAGAATATGGTGAGAATGAACTGGAAAGTGTTATTAAGGGCTTTTGAAACTGATTTGTTTCCATGCAGGTAATAGAAGCAAATCTAAATGGAGAGATGGAATTGAAAATAGAAACTGATCTAGTGTGTATTACAACTCACTTTAGAGACCTTGGAAATCCTCCCTGGGGTAAGCATTTTACTTTTTTTTTCCAGACCAGGAGAGATTTCACAGAAATGAAATAGTACAGTGAGGCTAGAGGTATTTTTCTGGGAATAAAGTCTCATTGAAAATCTGCATATAGCACTATGCTACACATCCCAGAATTGTCCATTGTTCTTGAATGTTAACAAGATTCCCCTTATCCATGATTTTATTGTGAACACAGTAGCCACCTTGGCTTTATAATACAGATTTGGATGAAATTAGAAGAAGATGTTCTACAGTGATGTGTCAGAATTGGCTTGTATCGGCTCAGAAGAGCAGATTGTTAAGGTTTCTGGAATTTTGTGATTTGTTTGAGAGCACAGCTGAGCCACTATGTTTAATAATAGCAATGGAGCTAGGAGAGCATTTACCACAAATCACTGATGTTTTCCCTATGTGAGATGTAGAACACCTGGCACTATCTCTGATCTTGAGAAAATGGGGATGCAGTTATCATCTGGAAAGCCTTAATAATTTTCAGAGCGTCTGGGCCAGAGCTGATTGGAAATGAGATTCTTTGATTGAAGTTGGACCCTGGGAAGGAATTGAGTTTGTCAGTACTGTACCAAAATTTAGTTGGCAGTCATAGGTCCTCTTCACTTGAATTGGATCAAATAGAACAGAGTTCCCCAATCTTTCCAGCTTTGTAGACCAGCGGGGGATGGGGGTGGGAGTTCTCCACGAGTGTGCATGCAAGCATGTACGTGTACACAGCTCCATTTGTGCAAGCATGCTCAGTTGTCTGCCACTTCTGCAGCTGGGTTCCAAACAGCTCAACTGCAAGGGTCAAATTGTTCTGTGTGTTGAATTAGGCTGCCCTACTGGCTGCAGAAAAGAAGCTCACATTAACTGTATCTGCCCTGATGAAGATACCATTGAAGGAACTTGCTTTTATTAAAGGCCAGAGAGACAAGATTGGTTTGCCAGGTGTACCCGAGCAGAAATGACTACTCAAAAGGCAAAGTTGCAATATGATGAGAGATGAAGGCTCACTGAATATAAGCAGAGAAGTATTCCATATATTTTGATACTGACAAATTATTTCTTATGATGAAAATGACAGACGTCTATGATGAATATGAAGAGGAAAGTGATGGAAGTTATGAAGAGGTCTTAGATTAAGCACATGTGCCCTCTACTTCAAAAGAAAAGACAGAATAGATTAGAAATAACAAATGTCGCTATGCAGAGCATATGGTGTGGGTCTACGTGCCACTGCTGTCATTACTACAGCCACCTTCATAGATGCTGGTTTGAGCACTGATGAAGACAAGAGACTTGTAGTTGACCACAATAAAATCAAGAAAGCCCAGGAAAAATTATGAAGATCCTAGGTCAAGAATTTGATGAGCTCTGTAAGAAGGGTGAAATAGAATGCATCTTCTTTGATATAGATGCAACTAAAGCTATGCTGAAAGCAAATAATTCAAGTCAGAAATTCCCCAGTATCATCAAAGAAGAACATTATTCTGTGTACAGTGAGCCAGGTGGAAGATATCTTTATCATTTCACTCCAGGAAAAAGCTCAAAAACAGGAAAAGTGGTTGTAGATAATCTGGTGTATTTCATGAAGAAGAAAAGCATTGACAAAAGCTTGAAGATTATTGGAGGAAATTTTACAAATGTTAATACTGGCTGTGAAGGTGCCATGCACTTGGAAGAGGTTAAGCTTGACCAGAAATTGATCTGATTAGTATGTGTACCTCACACGAATGAGTTATCCCTATGGCACTTAATCATAAAATTGGATCGGAAGAACTTGTCTAACAACAAATGGGCAGATAAAATTGGCAATGTGCTAGACTCTACAACAAACTTGATATTGATCCTTCATTCACTAGAGTTACAGATTAACAGAGTTGAAAGGGACCTTGTAGTATAAGTCATCTAGTCCAACATCTCACTCAAGCAGGAAACCCTACACTATCTCTGACAAATAGCAGTCTAATCTCTTTTTAAAAACCTCCAGTGATGAAGCTCCCACAGCTACCAAAGGCAATCTGTTCCATTGATCGATTGTTCTCACTGTCAGAAAATTTCTCCTTATTTCTAGGTTGAATCTCTCTCCTTAATTAGCTTCCATTTCATTATTCCTTGTCTGGCCTTCAGGTGCCTTGGAAAATAGCTTGACCCCTTCCTCTCTGTGGCAGCCCCTCAAATATTAGAACACTGTTTCAATTGGTGAGCCTTTCATTTCACTGAGCGATGGTGTTGTAAAGCAGTGATCCCCAACCTTTTTGACGCCGCGGCCCAGTACCGGCATCAGCTGGGCGCCGCGGCCCGGTACTGGCATCAGCTGGGCGCCGCCATCTTTTTTTGACGAAAAAGTGCTTCC